CCTGAATTCAGGTGGAATCATGATGGAAGGGATAACATGATGCTTAGTTTGCAAGCATCTCTCTCTAATAGCGTTTTCCCTTAGGATACATTGAGTGTAACTTGCACTATACCAGTTGCGTGTAAGTGCTGCATCAATGCTGCACTACACAAGTGTACATATATCATGGTGTACACTACTTCATGCTATCGTGTTTAATTCTGCTGTCAGTTTACTTCCATTTTCAAATTTTTAATGTTACATATGGCTCTATACCGTCTCTTTGAGATCGTGTAGCAAAATCCCATTTCGTACATAAAATTTGCATTACACTATAGTAACGGAAACACGTTACACTGAGTTCGCCTACCAGCCAAGGAAACACGCTACATTGTCTGAATATTGCTGATGGGCGATAGTGCAGCCAAGAGAAAATGCTATAAATCTCCACCGTGTAAACGCTTTGAAGCATTTTTTAATTGGTCAGTTAAAATTCTTTCTTCTAATTGGTCCATCAAACACTTCAAAGCATTTGTAGCGAGACTTTGACAACAGCCTCTGAATGTCGCGTCGGGGATCAATTTTGTATTTTCAAACAACATGAAAATTACAAAAGCGAGCAAATTTACTAGATATTGACCAATGAAACAATCAGTATTCTAGTAAATTCGCTCACTTTTATAATTTTCATCCCATTTCAAGATACAGAATCGATCCCCAAGGGAAAAGCCTGTCAACTGTGAAACGCTAAACATAGGGCGATATATATATATTCATAGTCCGTTGTTATTTTAAAACTGTCTTAAATAATGTCTTAAGATGCTACAGTCTTCAGATTGACTTATGACATCTTAAGATTGTATTTAAGACAGTCTTAAATGCAAAAATCGATTATGAATACCGATCTGTTTCGCGTCGTGAAATTGGTACTGAATCTTTTCTTGTTTAACATACTTATATACTTTCTTTTCGGAACGAAATCTTGGCGTCTATCCTTTGTTATTTTCACTCTATCTCGCTCTACTGAGATAGCGGAGAGGAAGCGTTTCAAGTGTCTGAACAGGCCTGATCTAATCAGAAACCTAAAATAAAACATGTATACATCAGATGTCACTGATATCACAAGTTTAATCGATCTCGGACCTATTCAACCTTATCGCATTCGAAAACAAAATAGATATTTTTAAGGGCTGCGCATAATCAAAGGAATAGCTGAGAATAGAGAACAGAAAATAAGAATTTCAATCTATTAGGGAACCGTGTATCGTGAAATTTGATAAGTTTGAAATTCTTATTATCAGTCTGTTTCCTATTTCTTTAATTGTGCGCAGCCTCTAATTGTGTGTATCTCTCTGAGATTGATTAAATTACAAAATAATAATAATAACAAAATAATAATAATAATAACTGATATTTTAGTAAAATAATCAAAAATGTTACACCAAGTATCTATATTGAGAGACTTGATGCAGAGATATAATAGTTTTAAACTTTTAGTTCTTACTAAACAAATAAATTTTTGCTGACTAACACTGTTTTAAAGTATATAGGATGGACCTTAAATTACGGCATTACCCATCTTGAGCAGGTAGAACGGACTAAACTGAGTTGAAAAGTCCTTTACCATTTTACAATTTTTGCAATAGTTAACGAGATATTAATTGCCAAAAATTGATCTTCAATAATTTTTTATTCAAATACTATGGACTTTAGGAAAAACAGAGATAAAATAAGAGATAAAAATTATTTATTTTCTTCTCATAAAGTTCTGAGAATTTTTTCAGAATTTTTTAATACCGTATTTCCTCATGTTGGTAAAACTAAGAAAATGCAATACTAAAAAGTTGATAAAAAATTCTTAAAAAATTCTTAGAGTTCTATGAGAAAAAAATAAATAATTTTTATCTCTTGCAGTTTTTCTGTGAAGTTGATAGTATTTGAGTCAAAAATTATAGAAGATCAATATTTAGCGATTTTTAGTAATTAATATCTCGTTAACCATTGCAAAAATTGCAAAATAGTAGAGGACTTTTCGACTTCAGTTTAATCTGCTTTACCTGCTCAGGATGGGTAATGCCGTAATTTAAGAACATCATGTAATAATCAACTTTTCATTTCATTATAAAGTTTTAATTTCATAATGAAGTTTGAATTATAAAACTTTATAACTTAAATAGTAATTAAATATTTGTTGAAAAAAAATGGACTTGTATAAAAATTTTCTAAAAATAAAATATATCGATATTCCATATTCTGTTATTATTGGTGCTAAAAATGATATTTCATGCTTTCTACCGTTAAGAATAAACAGTATAAACATTGCTAACAATGTGATAAAAAATTTAATTAATTTTTTCATTGTCGGAACATCTTTTAACAACTAATCTAATAATTGATTTAGTTTAATTTAAAAAAAAAAGAACTTATTTATTTAATAAATAAAGAGAAATTTTTATAAGTAAATTATTGTTTCCTGTTTTACACATTATAAAAACTTATTTGTATTGATACTTCATTTAGCGGAACATATATTGAAAAAATAATTTATTTACATAATAATAATTAAATTTATACTGCTTTTGAAATTTTCTTATGTTTATTGTTGTTACGAACGTCTAACATTAAGCACGTATATTTTAGATATTCTGCAATGACGTTACTATTTATTTAATATGCCTATTTTGCAAAAAAAGGACCTATAACTCATAATTAAAAATATTTTGAAGATAATAATAATTATCAGAGATGTTACAAAAATATTTCATTGCGAATCATAGAATAGAATTTTTTTTGTTGATCAAGACAACGTCCTTGTACGAAGAAATCTCAGGTTTTAATAGTTTAAAATCTTTTCGAAGGAACGTTAAGTAGACAAATGACAAGTGGAAACTCGAGGAATTTGAAGAATTCTAAAAAAAAGGAGAAGTTGTAGTAGGGTACCATAAAGGAAAAAAAAAATATGGAAGAGAAGAGAAAGAGGTTGCGTATATATAATTGAATGAGTGAGTGAATAAGCAGGATGATCTAAAGGAGAGGGAATGAAAAAAGAGAAAAAGAAAGAGAGAGAGAGAGAGAGAGAGAGAGAGAGAGAGAGAGAGAGAGAAAAGAGGAAGAGAAGCAAAGAAAAGAAGATGAAAGATCGGACGATCATGGAAGTGGCATCCTCTTCATGAAGGCGTTTCTTGGTTCATCCGGTATTATGCCAAGACGTTACAATGAAGCATCTCTCGTTTCACTTCTTCACGCTGATCTGTTCAGTCGCGTCGCTTTGAGAAGCGCGTGTGAACAGCAGTTCCGCTAGTTCTTGCCGTGCGTTCGGATTCGCCGCACGCGTCTCGCGCAAGGTACAAATGCAGAACGTTAATAGTGACGTATTGAACAGGGCAATCGTAAAATCGATCAGCCGAGAGTGTCCTTGATTATTTACAGAGACAACACAATAATTCGATTGAGTGCACGGATGAAGAAGTGCGCTGAACGACTTGCTATTTAACTTTGCACGAAGAAGACAAAACGATCGGTGATTAAAGGAAGAGCCGGCCGAGCCGGATTGCAATTTTTCAGTCGAGCATTAAGAACAATTTGATTAATGGATTATTCGTTTTTACTACGAAACATTGAATATTCTTAGATGAAACTAGATAAAACTTTTCCATTCCAAATGATTCTTATTTTTGTAGATTTTCTGTAGATGAATAATATAAGTGAATTTATAAGAAAAAAAGAAAGAAACGTATATAATAAAAATTTGAATTATAAAGTGTTATAATTTATAAATGTCTATTTTAAAATAATTTTTTTGCTTTAAAAACGTAAATAATAGTGTTTGAAGACCTTGCTTTGTAGCAATATAAATTCTTTCCCAGGATGATTAAACGAAAAGATAAATCTAGTTGTCATTAAATATAGCAACTATACTTCCGTTATGCTTGTGTTTATCGTTTAATAGCCTTCACATTGACACCAGCTATCCGAATCAGCTGACATAAACGTAATTTAAGACAAAAGAAGAATCGAGACATAAACAAAAAAGTGAAATAAGGTACAAGCAAGTATTAATTTAATTGTGCACAAATCTTGTAAATTTTTATAAAATAGAATTAAACATTCAAGAATTAGCTTAAATATGATTTACAATAATCTGAGAGCAGAAAAAAAAAGTTCTTTCTGAAAAAGAAAAAAAAACACTGACGATTTGGAAGTGTTAATCGGCACGTGAATTATATTTTCATAGAAACTGAAATAAAATATATATTATAGAGAAAAAAAGAGACACGAATCTAATAAAAATTAGAGTCAAAGTTTTGAAACGTAGCTGCAAAGTGACGGAAGTAATTTCAGAAAGTAGCAATTTGAAACATACCAACTAAAAAAAATCACGTCATACAATTGCATGGTGAAATCATGTAATAAAACATGTAAATCACATGTAACATGTAATCACATGTAACATGTAATCACATGTAACATGTAATCACATGTAACATGTAAGTTACGTATATTGAGAAAAAAATGCTGATTCAATTAAAGTCTGTATTACGGATTGTCACTAATAAGTGATTAATTCATCAATTTTTATTGACATAAAGGTATAAATTATTATTTCAATAATCAAGGCCTTTATGTCAATAAAAATATACATGAATTAATTACGTATGTTAGTGATAGCCCGTAATACAGATTTTAATTGAATCAACAGCATTTTTTTCTCAGTGTAGCAGATTGTTTCAAATTAATACGATTTTAAAATTACGTATTTTGAAAAATCACATGATGATATGCTCTTTTTTCTTTTATTCCTATTATTCAATTCTTAAAAATTCGATAATATCATATAATGGCTGAAATTATTTGTAATATTATGTGATTTTTCAAATTAAACATCATTTTAAAAAAATCACGTATTGAAACAATCGATTTGAAACAATCCGTTGTGTGATTTATATATTTTAATTATATGATTTCATCATGTAACGTTATGACATAATTTTTTTCAGCAGGGATACATCGACAGATGATCCAGAAAATTAGGAATAATAGAGAGCTAGAGATTGTTTACATTGGACAAACGAGTAATTCTATTTTTACGTCATTATGTCCATGATAAGGATTATTTACATTTGATAAACGAGTAATTATATTTTTAAGCCACACTGTGATCATGATAAGGTTTGTTTTGGCCGGTCTGGTGTTATTCTCGACAAAAATATTGTCGAAGTCACATCTGTCAAAATGTTGCCCGCCAGGAGAGATCTTTTCAGGACATTCCACCATAGAGTGCGTTTCAGTATCGAGGAACGCGACGGAACTCTATATTCAACATTGGAACACCACTACGGAGTTCCAAGGAATTCCTCAATGTAAAGAACCTAAAGATCTTATGACAACGCCACTTGACTATCTTGATTCCGACAATTTCTTAGAGGTAAATTGTAATGATTAAATTGGTCTTCTTAAGTATCTTCAACTGATTGTTGAGATTGCGATATTTTGAAGAGGTAAAAGTCAAGCTAGTTTATGAAGAAGTATAAAGAGAAACATAAAAATTGATGATAAAAAAATTAAATGAAAAATACAATCTTTTTCAATAAAGTGATACTTTTGTTTTTAATTTTATCTTGATTTTCTTCATTTTAAATTATTAAGATAAATGATACCATGTAGCTTAAAGTAGAAGTCAAATGTTTTTAAAGAAATTAAAAGAAAAATGCCTTTCTTAGAGAAATTAATTAACTAAAGAGAAATGTATCATAAAAAACTTCATCACGATACATATATCACGTTATAATCCGCAAACTTTTGTCACCTTTGAGTATATAAATAAATTTGAGTAATAAAAAAATTTATCTTCGCGCGAATAATATATAATATATAATATATAATAGACCAGAAAATACAAATTTTACAATTAAAAGTAGTACTTTTATCTTTACCTTACTTTACCTTAATTATGTAAATTAACGTTAATTCTTAATATGCTAATTAATTCTCTTTGTTTTGCTAATTCTCAACATTTTGATCATCAACCACTCCCTCAAGTTACTAGGCAAATTAATTATTAGGTTATTAAGTATATTAACCGCTCCTTTTATATATATGGATGCGTCGCACTGTTCATTAAGCATTTACAAATGTTACGAAAACTGACAAAGAGTAAATAAATAAAAACACACTTGCAAAAAAATATTTCAGTTTTTCAAAAATAGAAAAAATTTAAATGATAAAAAAATCTCATTTTTACGTTTAGCTTTTGATAGAGAAATGGCTAAATGCACTTCACATATCCATTTACATCGTTAAAAAGAAATAACATACTTTTGTTCTTTTGATGATATTTTTATAGTAGCTAATCGTCGCGTGACAATCAAAATATACTATCCCAATTATATAATCGATTATGTGAAACGGCAAGTTTAAATATAAAAACGAAAGATCCTTGTTTATTAATTTGATAAACTGTTTGTAGGTACCGGCTTGCCTCGAAATACTTCAAACAACTGGAGAGAGTAACGTAATAGTCGTTCATTGTCGATCGTACAAAGATCGATCGATAAAAGCGATTAACGCATCCTTTCCGCAACTCACATATATCAGAAAATGTTGCCCTCGCGATACAGTATTCGACAGTCGCACGAAAGCTTGCGTGCCGCAGTTAAGCGAATTAGACAGCCTTGTAACGTTTTTGTTGAATGAATCGGCTAACGCAGATCTTGTAATAATAGCTACCGAAGGTCCACCTACATGCAAAGGCCCTATCGTCGACTATGAGATTGACAAAAACGATGTCTTTATGCAGAACAATACATATTCAGTAAGTAAGGGAAACTTAAACCTTATTATAAGATATAAAAGATACTATTCTGAATATATATAAAAAATATTTTAAATATTTTTTTGACATTTTTTAAATTTTATATCTTTTTTATCAGAATTATGCATTACTTTATGTAAGTCAGTAAGAATAAGATAAATTTTCGATTTTAGGAAGTTGATATAATGTATTTATATAAATACATTTTCTATTGTATTAAAGCATAATTCACTGAAAATTAATTAATTGTTTTCTTCATACATTCGAAATTAATCAATTGAGATGAAATATTAACAGCTTTTGAAAAAGCATTCTAAAATATATATTTTTCAATTTGTGTATGTGCTGAAGGACATTTAATAAATAAATTCTCGACAAATATTACAAATCTTATGTAATAGACATTATCTTTTTTAGAATGAAAATTTTCTAAACGTCTCATGTATTCTGTACATACAATATTTTATAGAAGCAATTATCTTCTGAGTGTGTCAGTGTGAATTAATACAACATTATCGTAAATCAAATAATTCGATAGGTGATGGTTCCAGCGTTCATGAATATTGTCAAAGAGGAACTATTGGTTACTGAGGGTAATGCTTGCCTCGAGATGACGTCGGATTCTGATCGAACATTGATAGCGCGCGTCTGCAGAAATCCGGAATTTTGCCGTAGGAACGCTTGCATTAGAAAGTGCTGCGCCGAAAATGAGTTCTTTTACGCCCAGGGATGCAATAAACTCGCTGTACCCGACGAACCGATAGAGTTTCACGAGGCCCTCGCAAATCAAACGAAATCGTCTGCTTTCGACACGACCAAAGGTTTTTCCAATAATATTTAAATGTTCTTATTACCCTCTTAGAAAGAAATTGGACTATTTATTTAAAGTTTATTGATAATGAATAACAATTATGCAACAAGTTGTCGACGAGAATCCTATATACATGGAGAAACGGAGTTAACAGTTCTCTCTGATTGTTTAGACTATGGAATCTTGATTGGGAAGCCATGTAAATACGGCATGTATCCCATGGATCCAAGGGACGAAGAATGGGGGAATGTCTTTCTGACATCAGAAGGACATGTTTTTATCAAAAATTATGCCGAGTATGACCAAGACAAATACTGCATGGACATTTTTTACAACAAATCAGAGTCTGATCACAACTTTCATTTGTTCATATGTTTTGACAAACCGGAGACAAATAAGATTTCAGTAAGGTATACATTATTTTTATTTTTTTCAATTGTAAAATGAGTATTTGATAACTGTATAGTAACCACACTCGTGTATTTTTATTAGCATTTAATCAGCTTTATTTTTATCTTGATAGATGTGACTGAACAAAGAGATTGCATTGAGTGTGAATATATTGCCGAAACGCTTTGTAGTATCGGGAAAGTTGTTTTAGAAAAGTATAGAGTTCGTATTGAGTTTCTAGAAATTAAAGTAACGAATGCATCGCATTAGATTCGACGCTGCTGATGCATTTCTATGCATTCAGGCTTTCTCTCCCACCGCAAATTCTGTCAAATTTGGTGAAACTCGGCAGACTTGATTTGTTTAAACTTCGCAAAGTCAAACAAATGTAGCGTACCAACGTTCTGCACAATAGATAATGCCCTGTATTCGAGAACTATAAACGTTTTAGTTGTATACGTGACGCAAAGAGAAACGTTAATCAATGTCTACGAAATTGATAAATAATGTTGAAAATAATGTTGGACAATTCAATACGCTTCAAATAAATACGTGTCAAATACGAAACGTGAAATGTATTTCTCGCTAATAGATACCAAATGAACACCGTCCTGGAAGTCATCAGCTGCGCCTTCCTGCTAATAACCTTGCTGGTGTACGTGTGCCTGCCGAGTCTGCAGAATCTTCATGGTAAAACGCTGATGTGCCATGTGAGCAGCCTCCTCCTGGCCTTCACCTGTTTGCCCATCATCACTTGGATCATGCCTAGTGACGTAATTGAAGAACAATTTATGACAACATGTAAAACTTTAGGTTTGTACGCTGATATTCTAGGAAATATTCATGTATAAATGACGTTAATGAAACGAAAAAAACAATGTTTTTCCAGCTTATACCACGCTTTTTTCTTTTCTATCGGCGTTTTCCTGGCTTAACGTCATGTGCTTCGACATATGGTGGACATTTGGGTAAGTCATTCGACGCCATCATGTGACTGGGTCAAATAAGACAATCGAAGATAAAATTGGGTAAAGACAAAGTCATAACTTCTTGACAGAAAATCAATAATCATTTCTCTTTGATGACTGATTAATGAATTAGTCGGTCTCTTTTAATAATTTTATGAAGTTTGTCATCGCACAAAATTGTTTACCCGATAGTTTCTTCGATGTTATCTCAATTGCTTCATTGATCTTTCATAGAATGTCTTGCCGTTCTCATTAATTTCCATTGTGGGCGCATCTATATATGTCTCTTCATGAATTCATTGTGTTCTACGTATGTCGGTGCTTCAACAAATATACACTGCCAAACATTAAACACTGAAATGACTCAACGCGTTTAATATAGCGCAATACTTCATGCAGGAAAGTATTTAGTTCACGAAAAGTTAGGGAATTTGTAACTTCCAGAAAAAGAAATTAAGAATTTTTTAATGTATTTTTAATTTACGTTTTTTTTAGCAAATCAGTATTGTAATTAAAAATCAGACGTGATGTCTCGAGAACATAAATCTCGTTGAAAATAAAATTTTGCGAATTTTTATGGAAAAAAGAAATAATTTCTAGATATAGATTGTGCTCTATCAAAGAGCGACGATCGGGATATATCTTGTCGTTTTTATGCGGTTACGAACGTTTGTGTGTTTAAGACGCTATTCTAGCTGGGAGATTTGTAAATATACGGAGAAAATAGATTCCTATACGTCGCGGTGACGATGCCGGTACAGCTTAATGTTAGCTGGCTGGCGCACGCTCTCTCGATTGGGAATTCCACGAGACTGGTTCTTATTTTTTCACGATGTTCATTCCCCGTGAATCGAAAAGTAAATCATGTGATATTCATGCGGCATTCACGGAATTTTATGACTGAGTCCCAATCGACTTCCTCAAATTAAAATCGACTTCGTCATAACGAAGCAGATTGCCTCAATCTTTTTTGACGTGACATTTAAGAATCAGTCGCACGCTTGATCATCAATTCTAGTTTTCCTCATCGTCTGATTAATATTAAAAGCGTTATTTTCAGAAACACACTTGTTAATAAATATTAGAGTTTTGTAGATTAACATATTTTACATTGCTATCAATAGTATACGTTATTTCTTAATTTTTTATCTTAATATCTCTCTAAATCTGAATCAGTGGATAGTCACATTACCCAGTGGCATAGTTGGCACTGATAATTAGTGAAGTTCAACTAAAAAGGGAAGAATGTTTGAGCATTATATAACTAAAATTGATATCTGCACGTTAATTTCAATTTTTCGATACCATATGCATTGAATTTAAGCACTAAAACAAGGTTAGTTAAATCACATAATAAAGATTAGTTAGGGATCTCACTTTAATTTACTGATTACCAGTGGCACTGATGTCAGTGATTATCCACTGATTCAGATTTAGAGAATACATAGTATAATAATAGTTTATTTTCCCCGCAGAGTTTTGCGCGGAAGTACCATTACAAAGGCGCGCGAGCATAGGAAAAGATTTCTATTATACTGCGTATATGCATGGGGTCTCTCCTTGCTAGTGTCAATCCTCGCTATCGTTGCTGACAGCACGGAAATCCTGCCAGACTATCTGCAACCCAATATTGGTAATAAGGGCTGTTGGTTTACACGTGAGTCATTTACAATCGATAATTCTTGTCTGAGATGATGTAACGCAAATTTGTCAATGCTAATTATGAACTTCTTGGAAAGATTACTGACTTTTCGTAACAAAAGCTTTTTATATAATGTTGGTTATTTCTTCTAGCATTTTCTTGCTAATTTATACATTGGAAATAGAATATATATACATTGGGAATGAAGTTGGGAATTTTCGTGCAAGACGAATTGCAGTTAGAAAATTCATTTAGCATTCAAAGTTGAACGTATCGGGGAGAAGGCAAACGTAAAGTTTTCTTTCTATCGTCGTGTCGCCATTATCCGATAATTAAAAACTTTCTCGAGCAATCGTATTGATCGTGCTAGAACAAATTTAGGCATCATTGATCCTGTATATAAAATGTAATTAAATTAACTGCTTGCGTAATAAGTGTCATTTATATTGCAACGTAATAAATATCATTTATAAAGCAACTATATTTAATTAAGTAATTAAGAAAAATTCTCAATAGTCTTTACGATTTAAAACGAAGGTAAAGTTGCCGTAACAGATTATTACCGAATTATATTTTTTTAATTCACGTCTCTTATTTGTAGATAGAATAAATCTAATTTGTTTATTAGTAAAAATATTAATAAAACGAAATCATTAAATGATACAAACAAGAGGAAAAAGTATTTTCATATTTACGTTACAATGAATTATTTTCATATTGTGCGAAAAATTTTAAATATTTTACTCTAATGATTTTTAAAAATATTTTAATTTAACAAAACAGAAAACCGAAATTCGTACGGTGAATTAACTTTCTTCATCGGACCGATGATGATTCTGTTGCTATCTAACGTAGTATTTTTCATTCTCACGTCGATACATTGCAATAAGGTAAAAGCAGAGATAAAAAGGGTAACTACGAACCCCACAGATCCTAGAAGTAAACGATTTCGTTCCGACAAGAAGAGGTAAGTGTTCGCCAGCTTAGCAGGAATGATTTTCTTTTCATTTTCCGAAGCAATGTAAACACTAAAGATACTTTAGCAATAAATTAATGATTAGTGCACATAAATTTTGAGCACGCGCGTCATTTCGGAACTTTTAGTGTCGGTTTTATCATTTTGATTAAAGTGTTCTTCGAAGTTGTGTAGCGCAGCCTACACAAAAATACGAGAATTATTGCTCTCTATTTAAAACTACAAAACTAGAAATACAGTAATAAAATCGTGTGTGTTCAGAAGCACGTTTTAGACGCTATTAACTTTGGTTATGAGTAATCAGTTAGTCGGCTACACTTTTTTTAAAAATAATCATTAGAGTTCATTTTAGAGCTATAAATAGAAGCTGTTAATTTTCAATGAATGAAAAACATTTGATAAATAATTTTTTTGTATAATAAAAAGGCAAATTAGAGTAATAATAAAATGGTGCAATAATCGGTGTACTATAAATTAATTAACAATGTAAAATATATTTCAATATATTTATTATAAGACGATCGAATGTGTTTTGGCTTACCTAAAGCCATCTTTAAAGTAAGTAATCCTTAGTTAGCATGTTCTCGATATTCGCAGAAACAAATTCTCAATATGCAATATAGATAAAGGTGTGAATAAATCGTAAGGGTCATTTTAATTTTTATGATTAAGAAGCACAACTAGTTGACGTTCGCATTTTTGAGTGGCTATATTCATTGTATATCAAGAATTTATTGTGGATACCAAGAATATTAATTAGAGAGATCAATTTCTAGTAAGCAAGAAACATTTTGAAACATTTCAGCAACATTATAGCAACATTGTAACATTGCTACAATGTTGCTGAAATGTTCTAATATATTTCTTGCTTACTGAGTTATTAATATATCGTTAATGATGATTGGCATAAAATAGGTCAAAATATCCAATCGTCTTGTAATGGATATAAATATATTTTACGTTGTTAATTTATAGTGCATCAATTGTACCGTCCTGTTAATTTTTTACTCTCATTTGTCTTGAATTTTTGTTAACGTTTGAATTTTAAGAATCCTAATTAAATATTACTTTTCATTATTAAATTTTTTTTATAGTAAGAAATTGCAAATATAGTTAAGATAAAATTTTAAATTGTTATTTTACGAGTTTGATATTGACTTATATTTTTTATATTTTTATATATTATTTATTTTAGTAAAATTTTATTTCACAAAAAAGTTATATTTATATTAGTTATTATTTTCCGATAGATTTATCATGAACATCAAATTATTTATCGTCATGGGAATGTCCTGGATTTGCGAAGTGATGTCATTCTTCCTGGTAAAATATTTAGATTACGAACATTGGCACCATGTGTTGTTCTACACCAGCGATGTCTTTAATTGTCTCCAAGGTCTACTGATCTTTATTCTCTTCGTTTTGAAGAATCGCGTATATCAAGCACTTCGTAGGCGATTGGGATTTGACATCAAGAAGAAAAAAACAAATCCAGCGAATAATGCATCTGCTTTACACGATCCTTATAAAGTCAGGAAAAGCGTAAGTGACAGCACATTAACGACATTCACGATTAGTTCGACACCATAAGGTAATAACTGAGACTAGTAGTAGACTGATAATTTACATAATTTATGTCTTTCTTTTTATCATATAATATTCTTATGTTCTTGAGTCATGCTCTGTCCAATTTGTGATTATCTTAAATACGTACTTTTGTCAGTTAAAATAAGTAAAAATTTTCTTTCAATCAATATTTTATTAAGTGGAGTATAAATTCAAATTAATTATAGCGCATTTTAAATTATATGTAATTATACATAATAACGACAACTTTTATTTCTAATTTTCGAATGAATTATATTTGAAATAAGGTTAATTTACTGTTCTATAATTTTATTATTTTCTTAATAGCAGGAGGATTAGTAATTGACAGGAGAAATAATTATGTTTGATTTGACGCGATCTGGCGCCACGCAAATACTTACACAGTATAGACCTTCAAGGGACATTCTAGAGACTAGAGAATGTTCTACGTCTTAAAACGTCTCTTGGATAAAGTGTGCTGTGTGAGTAATGGCATGAATAGAGCTTGATGTAGGATACGATTGTACAAAGTTTCCTTTTGTATTGGCCTATATTTTGATAATGGACTTATTCATAACTGCTATTCTTGACTCTTAGAAATGTCTGCTAAGAAGTTCTGAAAATGGCACAAAATTCTATATGTATATCACGAGCATTACTTTCCAAGTTAGATTTACAATTATAGAAGTTACATAAAAAAATTCATCAAGAATACCAAAGATTATCTTTAATCACTATAAATTACGATATTTTTGCATGTTACGGCATAAAATACGGCGTATAATGCATAAGTTAAGTGATTACGATAAAGTTATAATAAATAAAATTAAAAATATGTATATAAAATGTTATTATTAAAACATTAAATAATTTCTGATTTTTGCGCTTGTATATTTTTATTAAGAAAATATTTTGATTAGAGAAATCAATCTTACTTCAGGCATTTTAATCCTGCATCTGTTCGCGTTTGTTTAATCTAAAAATGTTTATTTTTCTTATGTAAAAGAATTTTTTTTATTTCTTAAATCCTTTTTAATCATATTGATCGAAACAATGTAATCGTATAATAAATTTGAATAGACCAGCAGAGTTAAGAGATATTTAAGAACAAGCTGCTTGTTTTAAATCTGATAAGATCAAATAATATTATATAATAATATAGCAAAAAGATTGTTTAAACTATCTCTCACAAGGCATGTTCAATATTTTCCTGATCGTATAAGTATTAGAATGTTTTTTTTTACTCTATGTGTACTGTTATAACAATTAATTAGTTTCTTCGATAAAAATCGACAGGAATAGAAATATTAGAAAGTTCATAGATAGCAAAAACTGCTTTTATTTTAAATGTATATTCAAATAGAGTTTATCGGTAAAATTATGATATCTTGCAACAATATATTTGTTTATACCATGTATTTAGGATACATTCAGATATATTCATTGTATTCTTAGAATGCGTCCAATTTATTATCAAACTGAATTTCCTGAAGAAGTTTGACACCTGTGGAGAAATTCAACTCGAAATTCTTTACGTTCGGCTCGAACATTAGCTCGATAATGTGAACTTTTCTTTCTTGCGTTACCGTCTTAATGTTAAAATCATACTTTCATGTCATTACAAAACTTGAACCGACTTTTCTTTTTTTATTGAAAAAAACTTCTTATAAAAAAACAAAGATATTACGTGGGATAATCTTGTACCCAGCGATTCTAATGCCAGATTCGTACTCTCGCGCATTCACATCTTTCTGATATAAACGCACATTTAAAATCTGTTATAATACGATCAGCACCTATATAAATCAATCACTCATAGAGCTTCCAAAATCACTTAGGATTATATTAATAACGGCAAACTAGCGCAAAGTCGCATTTCGCATACATATTTATTACAAAAATGTCTTCACATATTTCATGGTAACCTATCATTCAATGAATGATATTTTTTTCAATTATAGATTCAATTAGAATTAGCATAAATTACCCGTAAAAATTAATGAATTAATTAACCAGTGAATCAGTAAAATTGCTATGTGTGTTATTGGTAAAACTATCACTAGCGCGTAAATATATCTCCTCACAGTCTCTTTCTTTTTACAAATATTATAATGTCAATATCAGTAATGAATTCATTAAAACAATGTAAGTGTAATAAAAGTTCTCGCTAATAAATTCTTGTGCTTAAAATACAGTGAGGAAAGAAATACGTGAACATTATTATAATTATGATCATAATAATGTACAGGATATATAATTATAATTAAAATAAATATAATTATAAATTTACCAACAAATTGCGCGCGCGCATAATATAATTAAATTCCAAAATCACAACATGAAGTTCTCAATTTATAACATTACTTACGGATTCCCCAAATCCTAAGATCATAAAATTTCTAAATAAACGCAATCTCTTAATTTTGCATTATAAATATGCAAAATGTAACCAATTATTGATCGTTGTTTTATTTCATGCGAAGAATTTTTGCATGGATTAGAATTATCGCTTAAGTTCAATCGCTTCATCATTGAAGTATAACGATACTGATCTAACGTCAGATTGAATAAAATCTTCTCTTCACGTATAACTCAAAATAAAAGTTTGAGAAATGATATCGCTATAATATCATTATGAGTACTTCATTTTCGGCTATGAGCTAGATATAAATCAGCTGACATTAAACCATGATTAATATCTCATCAGTGATCATAAGTCCTTTGACCGTTAAGTCGTGCCTCGTGTAATTAAAATAAAGGCATGTTCAGGCACTCCGGGCGCCGGAGAATAAGGATGAACTTCTATTAGCTTGGCTTTGAATGCAAATTAAATACGATTGTCAGGGCTTCCTCTCGTTCGCGGTTTCCTCCAGATCCGGATCCTCATTGATGATTGAAATGTCGCGAATCGATGGTCTGCGCGTTTTCCAAGCTTCCGGTGGGCTGACCGGCACAGTGGTCTTCGTCAGTAGCTTTGGTCCCAAGATTGTTATCATAATGGCTCCCGCAGGCGCGGTCAAAAGTACCGAGAGTATGCACGTCATCAGTACGATCTCGGCGTATTCGACTTGCTCATGATCGTTCTTGTCGACTTCGTCGAGAGTAACGGGTGCCAAAGCGGCCTGCACGGTCGCCTTAGACATCAAAGCCAAAGCAATGAACACTTTCTCCTTGAGATTCAGTTTGGAACCTATCCCTAGCAACACCGTTATTCCAATACGAATAACAATACCGGTAAGTAAACAGCCTAGTACAAGGTAGACGGTTTTTCCTTCGAGCTCACTAATCTTGATTTGTGTGCCGGTTAAACCAAACAAGATCGATTCGAATATTATCCAGAAGATCTCGAAAGACGTAGCCACCGGATTCTGTAAAAAAAAAGAAAAAAAGAAAAATACACGCTCACGATCACATAAATTTAAATTTATGAACGTACATTTTTCATTTAAAATTTATATTGGTCTGAATTTCGTTTGTTAAAATTTTCTATGAATGAAGCAATTATTTTATTTATTTCTATTTTCCTTATAAATCTCGAAAACGAGTGATATTCAACGAATGAAAACAAAGAGCAATGATAGCAACAATTTAATTCGGTTTACCGAGATATGCGCAACTAGATGTTAAAATGCCGCGAATACAATGACATTTTCCACAAATTTTCCTCTAAAGAAGAGTCGATTCGGTATTCGGTGATGATATCTCGCATCGCATTGTTCATGGCGCTCGATATCGATATGGAAATCTTCCAACGTTGCATGGAAATGCGGAATATCCAGAGTTCACGCGGTATGCAAGCTCGTATTTACCGCTATTGTTTACATGCGCTTGTGGTGCGTAGGAAATCTCATCGATATTGATTTATTTAATTTAATTCTATGCAATTTCCAGATAATGCATGTAACATGCTTTGCAAATACAAGAACATTATAGGTAACACGTATGCTTTTCACAGCTTTTCTTCTATTAATATTAAAAACCATAATAAAGATAAACCATATTTATTTATTATTTCTTTAAAAACTAATAATAATTCATAATTAAATTTCATAAGAAAGTATCACATTTAATTTTACAAGGTGACAAAAAACTAGTCATAAAGTTTTGTTTGTTTATCAAATCATTATCCACGTCATCATTTTGACGTAAAAATGATAACAAATAAAGTTAGCTAATTGCTATCTGAATAGTAATTAGCGTATTTATATAAAAACATATTTATATTAATACGTATTTATATAAAAAAAACAAACTTTGGAGAGTTAGTTAAATCTTATTAAATATCAAAAGACTGCACCAAAAGATTTTTAGTTAGTTGGTGAACTGAAGACCGCTCTATTGCCTGGGAAAATTTATCCGTGAAAAGATACACGGCTATCGTAGATGCGTTTTTTATCAAAGTTAAAAGTGACCATTTTGAACATTAATTATTATTTTTAATATTTAATAAAATAAAATTAACACTATACAGTTAATTTTGTAAATATACGTTTACAAATTACTAATAATTTGATAAACGTAAAACTTTGCGACTAAATTTTTTGTTATCCTGTATGTATTAAAATTAAATAATTTCATACAGACAATTATGTTTAATTAAATTTAATCGAATGAACCTTGTGAAAAAGTGATAAAATTATATTTAATTATATTTGATTTTATGTAATTACATCTAATTACATATAATATTCAAAAAGAAAAATGTTTTACCGGGAATGAATTATTTCATTATTTGAGACAAAAGGGCGTTTTACTGTCATCGCCTTGTCGCGCAATTGTTCCGTAATAATTAATCTAGCCGGGATAAATTATGCCGGCATGCGACATACGACGTGCATATCATACGGCGGTAATATCGACAGATGCTGGTTACAGTCACGTCACGAAACGCGTGCAAAAGAACGTGTCGCCGCCATTGCATCGCCATGGACAGCGTGGAATGCGACGCGATGCGGAAAGCGGAAATAGGAACGAGCCAGTTGACTCCCAATCCGCATCCAGCCGAATAGTGACGATACATCGGTCTGAATATTTCACGAGATTCAACTTATTGGATTAGGAGAGTGAAACTCTGCGATGTATTTCCCTTTCGTCGCTGATACGTTCCTTTTCTCTCAAGTTAAATATTTAATATCTCTCGCAGACTGGAATTGCGCAATTGCGATTCAAAATATTTTTAAATGTGTCATTTTTATCCATTAAATCGTCGAAATTTGTCTGGGTTTATAAAAATATATAATTCAGAAATTTAAGGATATATGTGTTACAACTCAAAGCATTACTAAAAATATAACAACTTCACATAGATTGTTCTATTATTACATCTGAATGCTGTTTGAGAACAGTTTTCTTGTTTAAAAATTATTTAATTTTTTGCTTGCCTTAATTTTTACGTAAAATCGTAATACTTATTTGTAATACTTATTTGTAATACAAATTTAATGAGAAAGCATTATGATTTAAATTAAATTTTTTATATACTCTAATAAAATTGAAAATAAAATTAATAACTATTCATACAAAAATTAATTTGGATTTACTTAATCATTAAAAAATTATTTACTTAAAACTCCAGCGAAATATAGTAATTAAGCTACATAAGCTATTAAAAATCAAATTTGTTGTTTTTTGAAGTTAATTTCAGGATGTTTTTACGATAAAATTTTTTAATAACTAATATTTTACAACCAAAGCATTCTTTAGATTGTATCACTACTGTGGCTATTTAAAAATGTATTAACGTGTTCTACGAGAGTTGGAACTACTATTTAATGTATTTGCGTGGAATTCGCTGGAGAATTTCTTATCAACAACTTATTCATCAGATTAGTAAACTCCTGTATAAGTTTTATGACTTATACATTATAAATTTGTACTTACATCGTCCATGTCCCAACCATCTTGTCGCCAAAAGTAGCAGCTGACGAAAGCTGCAGCCACGACCGCAAGCGGCCCGGCACCACTGAGCTCGATTGCTTCACTGCCGAAAACCGCTAGCAGGCCACCCCCGAGTAACATCAGCACTCTTAGAGGCACTATGAAGGGCTACAACATTAGCACATAAATGAAGCGTTAGGACCTAATAGAAAGCGCCGCGTCACGATTATGAAGTGATTTATCGATTTCATTACAAAAGATAAATTTCGAAATATGGGCTCCTTCATGTACATCCTTCGTATATGTACACGCTTGATATAAATGATGTAATTAGGCGGCAGCATTAAAGACATATAAGCTTGTGATGTGCTTTGACTGTTCAAACAACAATTATATCACTCATTGCTTTGTAAAAAAAACACTCATTAAAATAAATATTAGGTGTGGGAAAAAGTTCATGGCGTTTTTCCCGTTAGATGGCATTAAAAAAACGCCACGAACTTATTCCCACACCTAATATAATGAAAACTGAAAATTAAAAAAATTAATTTCGATTATTTTGTAATATTCTCAGAATGCCAAGCTATGGAAATGTTTGGCCTAAAGTAATATATAAATTTAGAAAGCAACTAATGTAATTAGTAATAATTAGTAATGTATATAAATAGCATTTGTGAATAAAGAGGAAATTTTTACAAAAATACATTTTATTGATCTGATGCACATTGTAACAGGTTAAGTATATCAGATAAATCAGGTTACAGCGAGTCTGTAAGAATACTGCAACCACCGCCGCAATGCAACAGCGCTAATCCTCATATGAACGATATTTTAAATACGATGAGGTGGTGCAGTAACCGAGTCGACTTCTTCGCCAAATCTGCGCACCAATATTTAATTTACCCAAACCAACGTTCCAAAATCTTCCAAGTCTCCGGGTAAATTCAATTGAATTTCAAATCTTTTACGAATGAAACACTAGTGTCACTGGAAGATCGTTTGTGTAGCGATTCTTGTTCTTGAGTAAGAATATATTTATCGTTGGAAAATAATTAATACCGTTAAAAAAATATAACGCTACTTTCAAAAAGTAAAAATATGTCGTTATTTCAGATACATAGTTATTTTCTAGTTGAGAGCTAAGTCTAACTTTGAGCACTTACTTATAATCTACCTTATTGAGGACGGCTTTTGCGCAAGGCTAATTATAAACTGTCTCTCGATTTTTACATTAAATATTAAGTATTTCCCGACTGAACAGAAGTTTTAAATAATTTCGAGATTTATAAAAGTAAATACGTAACACGAAAAAGAATTTAAAAAAAAAATGAAAATAATTAAAAAACCGAAGAAGTATCCTATTCTTATTAGAGATAACATATTAGAGATAGTATAGATCTATGAGATAAATAAAAAATAATGATATGAACACCTAGAAAATATTATTTATTTTATTAATAAAGATTGCCCTATTTCTCTAATACAAATTCTATTATTGAAATAGAGTCATACATGTTAGAACAATGTAATAACTGTTATAGTGCAATGTGTCATACCATTCTTTTAGCAGATTCTATAATTATCTATAATTATATTATATAATTATAATATCTTTTATAATTGTCTAAGATATTGGAAAAGAAAATCTATTTCTTACTCTGATCTTCTAAAACTACAAATAATCAGGCGATTGTATTAGCTAGGAAAAATGTTGAAGCTTAGGATAATAGAGCACGATTTTGGAAAATAAAAGCAAATTTCATCCTTCAATATTATTTATATGAGCAATTGAAAGATGTTCTACTAAAAGAATAGTACAAGATTCAAGCAATGTATAATTCCATTTCAACAATGATAGAATGGGTATTAAAATCAAACAATTTTATCAATTTCTCATTATAAGTAAATAATGTATTAAATATTAAGAAAACCATAAATAGTGTATGTCTCAGATATTAATATTATTTTGTCTATCCTTTGTTTGTAGGATGCTTTGAAAAATCGCTAATAATTTTGAGGCTAATTAAACGTATTTGAGATGCCGTGTGAGAATTGAATAAGGAAATGTAAACGTTTTTCCTAACAAAAGATATTCGGCGGTTTGCGGATGCAGGAATCTCTGGTACACGATCTCCAGTATACAATTCATACAGTGTTTACAGGATTTTCATGGCCAGATGATAACTGTATAAGTGGATTTATCCGGCAATAGTAGATTTATTCGGATTTCCACTCATGTACTCTATCCCCGCGAGTGCTTTCGCGGTATGCAGCGAAATCTAGTGCGAGGGAGATTCATCGCTCGGTACGATGTGGGGTGAACGACTCCCTACTGGCTGACCCTATTTCCGCCGCAACCCTTCATTCTTATATCTCGCCCTGGAACAGTCAATTTGTGATCTCGCGCAATCAGACACGACTCATGAGATTATATAACGTAAAGTAACGCTAATTTTACGAACCATTTCTGTGGTATGACAATTAATAGGACGCTTCGATTTTCGAAAAGTTATTATAAAGTTATAGAGTTAATTATTAATAAAGTTATTAACAATATTATTATCTTTTTAAATAATATTCCCTGTATCCTTCGCATGTGTACTTTAAGAATCGAACAGTGGAAAAATTTCGAGAGTAGTAAAAAATATATACATCGTTGTGTTACACATATATTGTAAACTTTAGTTCGTTTCCTCTAGAAGGCACGTTTTTCGCGTTTACCGCGACTGACATAACTTGTGAATGGTGGCTATAAGGTTGCAATTTAATGAGAATGTTCAAAACGCATCTGCGGCATCGTGCAGAAACTCCACGACTCTCCGCATCGTGCGATACCTCTTCGGTGTCCGATACGCCCGAGAATAATTTTTTTTCCTCTTTCTCTCCTGTAAAGTTCTTGTTCGTGCGTCCCGACATGCCCGCGTTTGAATGGTCACAGAAACGTGGCTTTACAAAATCGTAATTCTCACGATCAATGCAGTTTGCAGCGGTAGCTGTAAAGAAAGTACTTACATCGCCCTTTTCTGGCACGTATTTGGCCAACCAGCCCCACATGACACCGAATCCCAGACCGCCGATAATCGAGATGGGCCCCTGAAGGATTTGGTACCACAACGCATCGTGAGAAAACATGACGCTCTTCACGATACTGAAAACAGCGACGGATACTGCATCATCGATTCCTGATATCGCGATGATCAGAGTCGGAATACCCTAGAAATTCATCGCAAGCTCGTTAAGAAAATTATAGTCAGTACATCAAAATCCTAATACATATTTCTTTGAATAGTACTAAGTAAACATTTACTTATAGTAAATAAATATTTACTTAATAAAAAATAATAGAAATCATGTTAATAATTTCAAATAAATATAAGTTTAATAAATATTTATTTAGAACTATTAAAATAAATATTTATTAAATTTTTACTACACCTAATATATGTTTTATATATATATATATAT